GAATGATGAACAACATCACAAGACTGAACTGCAATTAAATGTTATTGAAGTGAATATAGAATTTTCATGGAGGAAGTTTATCATAAATTCATTACAAGTTACACAAAGAGAACAAGTAGTTGTTAAGTTTATGCAATAATAATTTATTTTTTAAACATTTAACTCATAAATCAAGTTAAGTGAAAAAGGAAAAAGGAAGGAGAAATGGTAAATATTTCTTTGAAATGAATGGAAGTTGTTAAACGCACACACACACACACATAAAAATATAAAATCAAGCACAAAATTTCAGTGTTGAATAAATTTTTCCACATGAGTGCATGCTTAATATTCATATTTAAAGCACATGAAGAAGAAAGATTTGAATAACGATTAAAATAATGCAAGCATAAATCAAACCTAATCGCTTGTTTTCCTATTCTTGCTCACTTTTATTGGAAATATTTTTCATGCTTACATTGAACTATTTATCGTTCATTTGTGACGAGTACTAAACACATCCAAGGTTACTGCTTGGAGCATATTTCATATTTATTGAGAATAACAATCACAAATTTCTTGTAGTTTTGAAATTTATGGCATGTGAAAATAGTTTTTAATCAGTAACTTGCTCTATGCTAATTCCCAAATATTTTTTAAAGATTTCCGGTATGTCTCCTTCAATAAAGGATAGCCATCTTAACTAGAATACAGCTATAACCCTAGAAATCAGCTTTAGAAATTAACCTTACTTTTTAAAATTTAATTACTATAAAATCTTAGTCAAGCATTCACCTCCTACTGCTCGTACACAAACCAATCACAAGAATCGTGTTTTCAGATGATTTCATTTTAGATACAGAACAAGCATCAACAGAAAATTCTCAAATTGCATTTAAATATTACGTTGCAGTTGAAGAAATAATTATATTTACGTTATTCGACGATAACTTCCGTCTGCTCTGCAATTTATGTTTGCTCTGCTGGAAAAAAGAAAAAAAAATAATATTAGTATGATAAGGAAGACAGATAGGTTATTGCTATGTCTCGGTGCTTATTGCATTTTTAAATTAGTTTTGTTACGCTGAAAACTAGCTCAAGGGAATATCAGGAAGAAATATGAGATATGATGGGAGTTGAAATGCACGGAAATGAGATTTAAAGACGAACAGAATGAAGAAAATAAAATGCTTGAAAAAATGCTGAAATTCACATGATGTCTGTCTACATAAGGGCAATGAAATGTCAACCGTTACTTAATGAATACAAATGACTCTCATTATGTCTCTGAAGATTTTTGTTATCATAAAATTTCTCTTATTCTTCTTATTTCCTTTTAAATCTCTTTATAGCAATAAAGCACGACAAAATTGCCGAAATAAAAAAAAAGCTTGTACATAAAAGGATGAACAAAATTAAGCGATTGATTTAAGCAACAGTCACTGAATGAGTTGGTAATAAAAAAAAATTTCCTTTCACAAAAAATAACAATAATGATGATAATAATAAGACTTACAGCATCACTAACAGCAAGGGATGATGAAAATTCATTCAAGTGATTTTCTTTCTGACTTTTATTGCTTTTCAAATACTCTGCTTGAGCTTTTTATTGATACACACAGTTGTTGTTCGAGCATGAAAATTTATTAAATTACTTAATAAGATCAGCATGAAGTTTCGTCATGTATTAAATGTTTTAATGCTGTAATTAAATCTTAATTGATTAATATTAACAATCTTAATATTTGTTAGGCATAAGTTTTAATTTTTGAACCTTTCATGCACCTCTGTTATTTACATGGAACTGATCAAACTTCCGTAAGTACTAATTGAAAATAACAATTTTCAATAGCTCATTCTATCAACACTAAACTAGACTGGGAATACAAGGAAGTATAGATTGTTTGATCGAGGCATACAGATTATTTTCAGGGAATTTCCAATAAACTTCAGTTTTCAAATGTGACATTGAATCTATGTAAAAAGTATTATAGTAATTATTTATACGCTAGAAAAATTGATTCCATTAAATGATTGCAACTAGTGTATCGGGTAGAACCCAAATGCGGATATAGTCACACCTTACCATCAGAAGTCTTGTGAAAAGACCAATTAGTATCAATCAAGTATTAATTTGAAAGTATAAATCTTGACGAACCACCTGAGCTTCGCACAGCATAAGTTGGGAAATATAAATCTTGACGAGTCACAGCATAAGCGACATAGACTCTAACCAAAGAAAGTCTCCATCGATTGCTTCGCACAGCAAAAGTTTGTAAACTAGACTCTTACCAGAGAAAGTCTTCACCAATTATAAATCTGTTTTTTGCAATAGATGTAAAATTTGAGGTTCAAACTTTTCTTCTGTGACCTTTTATAAACAATTTTGCTTCGTTTTCTCACAAATTCCAAAAATACTGATTTTTCAATCTGAACAAAACAAAAAGATTCACACGTGAAAACCTGTAAATGGCAAACAGATTGGATACAATGATTGTAGCGCTAAAGTTAACTAAAATTTAAAAGTCAAGAATAGTAATACTGGGGGTCCTCGATTTGAGTAGGTGTTTTGTTCCAAAAAAATCCTACTCAAATCGAATCTACTCAAATCGAATTATTTACTTTTTGTATGAAAATTGTCCGTTACAAAAAAATATTTTTTAAATTTTCAATTCATTAATTCTCGTTACTCAAATCGAATCTATTCAAATTGAATCTACTCAAATCGAGGACCCATAGTAGTGATTGAAATTTCAGTCCTTTCCATCCTTTAAAAAAATTTAAAACTCTAAAATCGAAGAAAAATTTTTTAAATATAAATTAAAAACAAGTTGAAACTAAAAGCTACAGAGCTACCAAAAAAAACACGGAACTAAATCACTCATCCAAATAATTCATTTTTATAGTATCATGAAATTCACGTGAGCATTTTAGAAATATTGTAGAATGTCCAAAAAATAATAATTTAAATTATTCACAATTAGCTGTTTATTAGTATTAGCCACACATTTTTTAAAGTGTACACTTTTCTCACAACAATGTTGTTGTCATCTGTATGTGTCTTGTTTTTGTTGTTATGCATTTGATCCAGTGTTTTTTTAAACAAAACTGCTTTGGGGTCGTTCACTTATGACGTCCGAATTCAACGATCATTTTTCATAAAAGAACAATAGATTTCTAGGAATCTCTATTGTTCTTTTCTTGCTCACCCCCCGCCACCCCCCCCTCCCCCCTGGACGTCATAATTGAACGACCCTTATTATTATTATTATTATTTATTTGTCGACGTTACCGTCCGGAAGAATTAGTATTTATACATGTTTTACTTTTTACATTGATTAGTGATACATTTCATATCACTATGGGTGACGTAGAATCAAGCTTCTAATCTTCAAATCTAGGTTTCAAATAAACTAAGGCTCTCGTTTCAATCTTCTGTGGGCGTGACGTGATACATTTCAGGTCCGTTCTGACAATATTCCATTATAAGGTAATCTTGTAGCTCTCGTTCCTATTTCTCCCGCTACACTTCAAGTTCCTGATCCGTTCCTTAATTCAACGTTGCCCAAAATGCCCAATTATGGCTTGACTCGTACATTAAGCAGTCGAAGTATCTAAACTTCTGAAAAAGAACAAATTTGGAAACGGCTGGATTCGAACCGACGACCTTCGAGTTACCATACCAAATTTGAGCCAAGCGCCTTACCTATTCGACCAGCAAGGCACTTAACTGCTACCCTTTTATTAAGAGAGAGAAAATGATTCCATAAAAAATATTCTTCATTGATTTTGCATCCCGATGTCAGCTTTTAAATAATACATATCCAGACAATCGACCAGGATTCTAGCTTTATCTCATTAATTCCAAAGATTAAAATTAAAAATATTTACCACATTAGCTATATTTACTGCATTCATGCGGTTTTGTAATACAAATTAATTATCACGTTGAGTTTGTGACGCAATACATCATTTAAAAGTCTCTGTTCTAAGTTATTTTTAATTCGATATAGATTAGTCGTTTGAATAGAATTGGAAATTTTTAAACTTTACGTTTGTATCATCATTTTTCACAATTTTAATTTTTGAGTGTCAGCAATTCATATTTTTTTTTTCATTTCAATCGCCTTTTTGTGGAGTTTATTAATCAGTCATACTGTCTGTAAAACGATTCCATAAATATAAATGAGTGAGCAGTAAACGAAATTTAAGTTTTTTATAAGTAAGTCAGGTTAATAATCCATTAATATGTTTTATTTTAAACCGAACGTGTCACGACAATTTTTAATTAAATTTTTAACTTATACTTTATATTTAAGGTGCTTTAAAATTGTAAGTTCAAAGCTAATTTCACACGAATTTGAAGTAGTATTTTGTCAGTTAATTCCAAATCTAGCAATTAATAGCTTAAAAATGTTGTGATAAAGCAAATGATTCAAAACAGCATTTTTATTAAAAAGATATATTCGTGCTTCGACCTTACACCTTTGAAAAATGCTCTTATTCACATCGCAACCAGAAACTTTACAACTCATTCCAATAGTTTACCGCTTATTATTGTTGTTTATTTATTATTTTCGTTAGGGGCTGTTCACTTATTACGTAACGCGAAAAAATGACTTTTTAGACCCCCCCCCCCTCGTAACAAAATTTGTATGAAAAAAAAATTTCCTTGTTTGAACCGTAACAAAATCTTAGACCCCCCTCCCCCCTAAAAGCGTTACGTAATAAGTGAATGGCCCCTTAGTCACAATTAGGTAGTCATAAATCAGAGTGTAGCTTGAAATTTTTCATATCAGTTGATTTTCAGTGTTGAATTACACAAATGCACAAATCTCAAATACTGTGTAATGCTTCGCATACATCAAAAAAGTGAGAAACTTTTGAAAATAAATTAAAAATTGAGTCAGTCAAATACATTCTAAAGAATTATTAATCTCAGTTTGATAAGTACATAAAAATATAAAACAGCGATAAGAAAGTGATTGCACGTTCAGTATTCTATTAGATTTTGATTCATTGAGAAAACAAAGTCAACGGAGAACAAATAAGTGAATAAAAATGAGGAATTTTTCGAAAATCTTTGCAATTTTTATTGCATTGCAATTAAACTTAGTTTTAGGAATCCATTATGGCAATATAGCTCAAAGAAATCAATTTCCATATGCTGTTTTGGTTCATAGTCCACAATTTTTCTGTTCTGGTGCATTAATTAGTGATCGTCACATTATAACAGCTGCACATTGTCTTATGTCAATTCGAAAAGGTGGAAAAGTGACTGTGAATGTTGGTGCACATGAATATTATGGATCTAGATTCACTGATGGAAAAACAATTTCTTCTGACAAATTTTGGATGCACGAGAATTTCACAATGCCATCAGCTGTTTTTGACATTGGTGTTATTGAACTGCCTGAATCATTGCCTCGAAGTGAAAAAATTGGTTGGTTAAAATTATCGACAAGGCCTGATGCAGATCTTGATCCTAAAGATAAAGAAGTTTATTTGGCTGGTTGGGGCTATTCAGAATCTTCATATGGAGTTGCTGAAGAGTTACGTTGGACAAAAATGGATTTGATACCATTAAAGGAATGTATGAAGTATAAAAGTCATTATATTGAAGACATGAACAAGGATCACATTTGTACTAGAAAAACTGAAGGTATGCCATGTAGTGGAGATTCAGGCTCTGTTATTGTATCAAAGAAAACCAATAAAATTCTTGGAGTTGTTAGCTATGTAAAAGATGCTGAAAATGGAATCGATATGGGTTACAATGATTGTGATTCAGACATTCCAGTAGCTTCAACAAGGATTTCGTCATACATTGATTGGATCAATAATAAGACTGGAATAAATTTTACAGCAGGATTTGAACAAGATGACAATAGTAACTTGATAAGACCAGCAAAACTACCGAATAAGGTTACAACACCGACAACAATCAGACCACAAAGAAAATATATGTGCAATACAACAAAAACTACTTCTAAACCAAATACAGAGCGTAGTTCAACAGAAAATTTGTATAATCCTACGATTCAAGATGTTAATCCACACATAAAAAGCAAGCCATCATTGTATCCATCAATAAGCAACACTCAACTCATCATAACCCGAAGCAGAAGGAGGAGAAGCTTTTGAATAATCAGTTTAATATAGGCTAATCGGAAACAACCTTGAAATTTTTTTTAAAAACATTAATAAACTTTGACTTAATAAATATTTTTATACGTACTCGGTTGGGTTTTTACTGATGAGTTTTTTTAATGATGATTAAAGTAATTTGTTAACTTGTTATTGATTTGAAAAAGTAATATTGTCAATTATGAGGATTTCGAAGCTACATTCATTGATTGGTATTCCCAGGTTAATTATCAAAAGCAATACAATTAAGTGCATTTTTAATAAGCAGTTAAGTTCCTTGCTGGTCGAATAGGTAAGGCGCTTGACTTAAATTTGATATGGTAACTCGAGGGTTGTAGGTTCGAATCCAGCCATTTCCAAATTTGTTCTTTTTCAGAAGTTTTAGATACTTCGACTGCTTAATGTACTTAATTGTCCAATCAATTGCAATATGCCAATCTGGGCACACTGCTACAATTTCAAATTAGAGTATCTTTAAACAATATTAATTATCTAATCCTTTGTTTTAACTTCCTTTTGGAACAAATTCTTCAATTAATTTGCAATATAAGCTTTCATTTACTTTCTCATCTCTTATGATGAGTTTTATTCTGTTTAATTTGAATCTCAACTCAATAAAGCAAGCATCAATAAAAGATATAGAGAGAGATGAGCAAACGGAAAGCTGTTGGGAGATAGAGCTAATCATTAGCACTTGAACAATTTGCATGTTGAATGAAAAGAACAAAAAGAAAAGTTTTCTAATATTGGAAGTAATTTTCTTTTTCTCCTTCCATCGTACAGCTATGCTCGTCATAAGCGTTAGCAATTCGGTTATCGGAAAAAGCAGTAAAATGAGAGAAAAATTGCTGTAATGAAAGATTTTTCTATCCTAAATGATTTTTATTTCTTTTCATCGACATGCTTTCAACATAATTGCTGCCCATTGATAACAAATTGTAGTACTGAACATGTTATTGAAACTTATAAGCAATATCCTAATGGACTATCATAGAAATTAGTAATGTTCATCTATTCAAAAGCTTTATGTGTATAAATGAGTTTTTATTGATATGTAATGGACGAATGTGCCATCAAAAGTATGGAAACAAACATGTTATGATGATGTTTACGAGGATTGAGTAGATTGCAGTTTGATTAGGTTTTTATACACATATGTTATGGATTTGTTATTTTGGCTTGGATCGTTCAATTTGAATGTTATTGGAAATTTTAAAGTTTCTGACAATTTACAATTCAAAAAGCCAGCAACATTCATTCATTTGGATTATTTCCCAAAGGAACTTATAAGTAAATGGAAAATGTGTTCTTGGAAACACAAATTCAATTTCTTTCCCAAGGCCATGTATACATAGAATGATTGTTCGGAAGTTAAATTTGAATTATACTAAATTTATTCAAGGAAATTACGATGTCTACCAAGAAGTCTTATTATGGTAAAATATTCGCAAGAAAACGACTTCAATTTTTTTTTCATTTAGATGTAGTCTGTTGTCGTGAGCTGGAATGATTCTGAGTTATTCTTTATTGGGATGAAAAGGAAAGTAAATTACCATATTTTTAAATCATTCAAATGTTGAGGCTGATTTTTTTTTGTGGACATTCATTTGAAATTAAAGCTGAATTAAATTAGGAGGATTCATTTGATAAGGAAATGTTGGTACACATCTGCTTTTATGACTGGATTTAAGTTGAGGAATTTTATTTTTATTAAATTATTATAAATTTAATGCTGAATGGGTTTACAACAGCAGCGAAGCCAGGCTTCACTTAATTTATTAAATATTTTATACAAAAATTTAAATTTTTCATAGAATTTTTCAGAGCTTGAAGTTAATTCGAGATTTGCATCGATTTTGTATGGCGGAGTGGACTTCAAGTCGACTCGACTCCATACAAAAATTCATCAACTTTGAGCTCTGGAATTTTCCTTTGGCTATGCCACTGATTCATAACATTCAATTTACAATACCCGATCCATCAATTTTCCTACAAATTAAACATCATCCCATCATCCATTACCGCAGCATTTTTAAATCCATACTTGGCTCGTATCATTTATACAAAAAAAAAAAATAAATTCAATTTCCGTGTTGTTATCCTAATTTTTTCATGTTCATAAAAGAATTTTTTAAGCTTTAAATTCAAAAACCGAGAAAAATGACAATCACATCCCACAGGATATGTCATAGAAATGTGAGAAAGATATGAAATTTTCATAATTTTGCTGATTGGAAGGGGAAAACCTCGAGATGTGTATGAACTGTTTGATGAATTTTAAAAATTACAAAGCAGTCATCAACCTTAAATGTCTGTGACTTTTTAAATCATAATGCTTCAATTTTTTCACACAAAAGCAAAATTTACCTCCATCCAATCATAAAAAGTACACAAAAAAATGGGAATATGATAAAACTTTATCGATGAGTATAACAGACGGAGAACCTTTAAAAGTCAAAGAAAAAAATTGTGCAAAATCATCGATAATTTTTCCTTCCTTTTTATCACAAATTTTCATTTTTTTTCTCCGTCTCTTCTTTCTTTTATTCATTGTTTCATATTTCCTTTTTCCTATCGACCGTCTGCAGCGTGAGTTTGCAGAAAAAAACTTTGGAAATTGTGAACCCGACTTCAATCTTAATTACAACTTGACTTAACTTGCACATTATTGTATGTTTTTTTTCCGTCTCTCCTTCGCTCCCTCTTAACTAGCAATGAAAAAAAAGAAATCTTTCCACTTCATTTCACATAAATTCCATAAATTATGCAGATTGATTTTCGAAATCGCATTAGAAACACATCAGTTACACACGTTATGCTGGATATTTTTTGTTCTTTTTCCTTCTATCTAGAGCTATCCACATTACACATGTAGACATTTATAATGTAAGTGTGTGTGGGATTGTAAGTATGAAAGGAAATAAGTAAGTGTGTATCAAATATTGAGATGTAAGTGATGTGTCTTAGGCAGGAAATTGGAAAAATCATTGCCATTAGGCTGAAAGTTGTCAACTTCAGTGCGCACGAAATGAGCAGAAAATGGGAAGTGTGTGATTTAATAATGGATTATTTATTCATGAACAATCAAAAGAAAAATAGTTGATGCTTTCCATTTTGGACATATTAATATATTTTAAAAGAAAATTCTATGTGCTCGGCTTCCCCCTCAACCCGCCATACTGAAGCGAAATTTGTGTATAGCGTAACCAAAGTCTGATCTTCCTCACTTTTCTCAAAAGGTATCAAAGCTTTTCAGATCTGTTTTACGTTGCACAATAGATCAACAACTTAAACATGAAGTGAGGTGCTCTGACGGCTCCAAGTCGGCTATTTTTGGCCATTTTTAAGGCAGAAAAGAAGATTTGCAGCAGTGAATTGTTCAAATCAATGTTCAACCTTTCCTTTATCTGTCATTTGTTAACTTCCTCATTCCACTTTTAAAACAAAAATAAATCAACGCAAATATAAATCTCATAAATTTTTTAAGCTTCATTTTCCATTCAATAAACTTCAATTTCCATACCCCACTCCCAAATAAGCATGGAAGTCTTAAGAAAAATTCTTTTGTATTTGATTTTTGCCCTTCCATTTACCTCACCTTTCAAACACTTCTCTTTGACATTTTTTTCTTCTGAGTTAAATCCAATAACAAAGCCAATTGCTTCTTATACTTTCTCATACCTTGTAATGGCAACAGACATCTACATAAGAGAGAAAGACGAAAAATCAATTTTCAACATTTGACGTTCTCGACATCAATACCCACATAACTGTCTCAATACCTGATGCAAAACAAAGTTGTAAGCGAACTTTTTTTTCACATCTACTCAATGTTTGTTTTTCACTTTTCTTGCCTCCTTTTTGATGAAATATTTATGCTATTTCTGACACATTTCACAACTTTCGTTTCTTTTTATTCATCATCATATTTTGTGCCTTGCTTTTTGTGACATTTTTTTTTCTCTCCTTCATTTTTAATGGAGACATCATGTGTTTGTTATGGATACATACAAATCTCTATACAAAAGCCTCAGATATACACGTGTATGATCGATTTTTTACATAAGTTTCATTGTTATAGGCGTTATAGCATTCTCGTTTTAGATACACAAGAAGATGAAACCCGTGTGATGGAAAACAAGAAAGGTTGGTTCCTCGCTTTCATCATCAACATTTACGTAAGCTTGAAAACTCATTTTTTATTTTAGAGATTTGTTCATTTAAGTAAAAAGGGTCAGTTTTGATCCAAAAAATAGTCGGTGTTTTGCTAACGGTCTTTTCATTCCTTTCTTTTTAACTGTTTTCAAAGGTTAATTCCTATTATAGATTTTGGAGTCTGAAATTTGAATTTATTTTTGGATACGTGTCAATATTTTCATGGTCTGAGTGGATAACAAGCTATTGTATGCTTTATTATTGACGTCAATTGATAAAATCGATCTGAAGATCCTTCTTGTGGTTAACCATTTCATCTCCTTTTCGAAGATTATACATAACAATCCACCTCCTCTAGCACCACTTATACTTAGACCTAGAATATGTTTTAACGGCTGCATTCAAATTATTAGACTTTATTTAATGCAGATAAGTTTCCCGAATGGCACATGTTTGTTATTCGAATAAAAATCTGAGGTCCAGCCGGCATGACTCTAATATGGTGCTGGCTTCGATTTACATCCAGCACCATGCCAGAGTCACACCAGTTTAGTTCCTAATTTCTGATCGATTAACCGACTTGTGCCATTCGGGTGTATAAGTGTATTACATATGTAATGAGGAAGCTATTAATTCTAATATTAATGTCAGATCACTTGAAAGATAGAATTTTTTAATAATAATCAAGGCAGTTAAGTTTATCTGATATAAATAAGCTCCAAATCTCTTCACATTCCCAACCATTCTCATTCATTAAAACATATTAAAGCTTTACAGTTTATAAAAGACAAGTTTCGACGGTCACAGAAACCACAATTCAATTATTTTTAAACTCAACCTTCAGTTTTGAGGAAAAATTTCATAAAAAGAGGAACTAATGAAATAGAAAATGTGGTTTATTCCACCTCAAAATTAAAATGCTGAAAAAAAATCCC